ATGGGGGTGAAGCAGCACGGGGCTCAAGCCACATCCACGCTGGGGCACTCTATGTGTAAGACAAATCAATCCTACTGGGGACACTTGTCCATGGGACATCCGTCCATAAGATAGTGGCACAAGAGAACACTACTAGGACCTTGAAAAATAGTCCATACCTTGGACACTTGTCCGTAAGACAATGTCCGTCCGTAAGACCCTAAGAACACGAAACTCTTGTTTAAAATCAAACACCGTCTAATAAACAAAATGAACCTACCTCGAAATACTTCCGAGGGCTCAATAAATAATAAACAATCTGTCCTTTCTTCCAAATGACATTCTGGAGGACAAAAGCAAAGGGACGCCAACGTGCCAGCCAAATACAAATACAAGTTGGGACATCCGTAACTCTACCCTAAAAATATTCACTAATAATATCGAATCTAAAAGGAAAATAACTCAGCTTTACCTGTAGCTTCGAAATGGCAGCTGATTCAGATTACACAGCAAGATTTAAATAATCACCATTTCTCAAAAACTGGGACTAATGGCGTCTGACAGGCCAAACAGTCTAACCAAAAGTGAAGTTAGATCACAGAGAATTGACAGAAGCGATGTTGACAGCGCGCGCTCCCACAGAGCAATAACAGGGTTGTGCCAAACCATAACAGGGTTGTGCCCAGACATCATATATCATAATCAAAGACATGTAACGAACTAAAAACGTTACAAAACGTTTATAATAATAATAAATAACGCTTTATTCGACAAAAAGCCAAAATAGCTTCATCGACAAAGCATTTATAAAACAAACAAAAGCACAGAAAATATAAAAATAATAAAAAATATACAATACAAATCATACAATTCAAAAAAATTTGAGTCAATAAAATTACAAATAGAACATACATGGACAATTGCAGAACACAAAAAAAGGCATATCAATAAAATTTACAATAAATTACAAAAATACATTTCGGGACACTAAGCGTAGATTTTATAATGTAGTAGTGTAGACAGCACAATAAATTAAATTTCACAATGATGCAATCATAGGTTGACAACTTAAGGTAGGCTGACATTTGACTGGTAATGCATTATTATCTGTTCAGTTTTAATAGAAAAATAGATGCAGTTTATCTTAAATTACTTAAAATCGGCTTGATTAAAACTGTTCAAATTTGGCATGTGTATTCAGCCTAGGCAGACCTTTAAAAATCTAGGTACGAATCGGGAAGCCAATATTTGGACAGTTCAAAATTTACATGGGATTTCTTGTTTCCAAAGATGTGATACTCCACCCGGTATGTATCCATTACAGTTTAGATGTTATCGAATACATGTCAATTAAAAATTGGAGATATGTTTTGATTACTATGTAATATGTCGATGGTATAAGCTAAGGGGCTGGAGGATTTTAAGTACTCTTCAATATATTTGAGATCAATTTCTTTCGTTCATCTTTCGGGGTAAAACTTGAAAGACTACAGACTTATTACACACGCGTAACATGAAAATTATTAATTAAAACAAACTCCGAAAAACTAAATTTTTATTTGTTAGTGGTATTAAGTATTGTTTTTTTATCTGCTGCGTGGCTGCTGCCTAACAGTTTTTTCTAAAAAAATTTAAATCTTTTTCCATTTCGGAAAAATATTTCAACTACAACTCATTATGAAAATTACTTAAATTAAAATGATTTAAATAAAAAAAATACTTCAGTTTTCTATGAGCTTGCAGCTCTGCTTGTGAGTGGCTTTTTATTCTTAAATACATTTTCTTAAACATCAAAACCGTCACAAGAAGAAAAAAAAGGGGAAAGAGTAGGTTTTTGATTTTAGGAGTATTTTATTGGGGATAGTTCACCTTTGCAATCATTACATATTATTTTAAAAACACGACCATGAAAATTTTTTATATGCTAACTATACATTTTTGAGACTCTCACTAAAATATTCCAGCGTTAGTTCAACTATTTTCAAAAAACACAGACATTGCTTGGCTTCCTTTATAGGCTTAAATGACCGGATAATTTTCTCTCCCACATATTTTCCACGGGAGACAATAGAGAGTTAGAAAATAATGGATATGGAAATTGGTGCATTATGTGTTTATTGTTGACCGGAACGACACAACTCTTGTTGACGTTTTTTATTCTGTCATTTTTAATGTGAGCAGCTAGTAGTAACCAGCTTAAAGCTTCATTCAAAACCTCGGAATTACTGGAATAAATTAGGGGTTTTAATTAAATTAAAAGTCTGTTTCTGTAAATTCAATATCAAATAATTCAAATCGTTGTGGGGGTTGATAGTGCATAATGCACCTACACCGGTCAGGTTGATGATGTTCAGCATACATTCTTTGCGTGCGAACGATGGCAGGGAACAATTCTGTATAGAAGCCGGCAAATCGACTTCGCCTTGCCCACATTTATACCATACTTAATTGTAGGGGAAGAACAATGGACGCTAATATATCGGATAGTCCGAAGTATTATAAACTGTAATGAGATAGAAGAGAGACTAAGAGCATGATAAGGTAAATCTAGACAGCCTTTGCACTAAAGCAATGCGAGAGCGGATTCCAGTGTAAAGTGGTAGATGGAGGAGGGTTTTTAAGCCGGTAGAAATCCGGCACTACCCAACTTTTGGTGTCTTATACAAGATATTTTTCCTCCTCAACGAAAAAAAAATGACAGCTGAAAGATGTAAAGTTCTAATTGATTGACATTACGTTTCACTTTTTGTGAGATTCTACTTACAGTAAACTGATATTGAGCGTAGTTGAAATACCCTGAAGAATCTATTTACTTTCAATAAAAGCTGCAAACTTAAGCAACAATATCAATTTGCCCTCTAAGAGTACGGATACAAAGAAAGCTGGTTATAAGCGCTTATTACCAGCGCCCACAAGCCGTCTCAATAGTACACAATAAACGTAAAAAGTAAGCGCCAACAATTAAATGTGCTTTTAAACACACCCGCACTTAGAAAAAAATTGTCGGCGCTTGTTGCAGATTTCTTTGTGTGCTTATCCTCATGCAGGTTAGCAGCAAAAGGAGCTAGAGCTCGCCATAATCTCTTTCCTATTCAAAATAATTGAGTATAGACAAAATAAATTGCTGATTCCGACTACTTAGTCGTTTTTTCATTTTATTGCAATAAAAATAGCAGCTTTAACCAAAGACAATGCAGATTTAATTTTAAATTTGTTTTCCCTTAATAAAACAATATACCTACTAATTTAGATTCAAAAATTTCATTCAATAGTTATTAAGTTTAAATGAAATCTGTTCGAAAGTAAAAGTAGGACATAATAAGACATTAAGACTGTAGACAATATTTCAGAATGCTGTTTACTCCTCTTCTACTACATTATTCTGAATTATCTCACAAATTCATACGCGCTTTATCACATAAAGGTACGAAACACTCTCTAACATCTCTGTATTGTTTTATTTCGCCAATGATACGCTCTGATTCGTGCCACCCTTCATCATGCGAAATTTCATTTCCTCCGGCACAATGGAACGGCACTGACGATAAACATTGGGGATGTTTAGTCGATCGCGGCCAATACGCTCCCAGTCCCCTTTTGACAACGAACGTCGTCGCCTAATTGATGCTGGAAATTAATAGGATGTGTTTTCTTGTAATAGAAGAGAAAGTTTTATGCTGAACCGTATTGTTTAATTATAATGAATCAATAATGAAATTATAATAGACGGAATAAGGATCTTCTATACATTCCATATAATTGAAATCATATGAATTTTTTTCGATAGGTTTTTTAGATATTTTTTACCCTTATTTACTATCAACAAAAACATATTAACGAGGATCGTATATTATTATACCCGATGTATAGCTTTTTTACTTTTTCAGATAAAAAAAACGAGATTTGATGTGTTAGTATATGACAGAAATCAGAATTAATTGACGTATTCAATTAGTTTCGGTCACTTCCTGTTAGTCAATTAGTTTCGGTCACTCCCATTTGATAAAAAATGACATTCTGAATAGAATGACATTTCATATATCAACTTTTGATACTTAAAAAAACAGTATTTTAAATTTCAATCTAAAGTACCATGGTTATGTTAATATAACTAATTTTTAAGCTAGGAGCATTGGAAAATATATTTGATAGGCTAATGTTTTGCGTGATTTTTCCTGGTCGGTTAAAAGGCATCCAACCGTATTTTCAATTATAACTCAATTTTTTTAACTAGAACGAGGATGGCTCCTTAGCATATTAAAAAACAACGAATAATTTAGTGCAACATACTTGGTATTTTGAGTTAAATTGTAGTGAATATAAACCCAACCACTCTAGATTGAAATTTAAAACACATACAATTTTTTAATCGAAAATGTAAAAAATTGACATATGATACTCTATTCTCTTTAGATTGTCTTGTTATACCAAATACAGTAAAAAAAATCCGAGGGTAAAAATCAAAATTTGTAGTAATTTCCCGTGAAACGGGAAGTGACCGAAACTAATTGAATGTCTCAATCAATCCTGATTTAAGTTCATGTACTAAAATACGAAATCTCGCTTTTTGTCTCAAAAACTAAAAAAGTTACAGGGGTGAGCCGCGTTTGAAAAATACCCGGTATAATAAATGTACTAGCACATTTTGCTAATTTCAAAAATATATCAAGGAAAAGCCTGCGCTTTTCTTTGTAACAGTATTATTGAAACTTAGCCTCAACTTAGGCTAAAACCAATAGCCTCTAAACGGATAGTAAAAGAGGCTTCTGGCATATAATTCTTCAGGCATATAATTGCATTGCTAATACCCCCCTTCAAAAACCTATGGATAATTCGATAGTTGCAATTGAAATATTGAAATACCCATATGACTTTTTTGAAGAGATGAATAGGCCACAGAGGTATAGACATTTTAATACAAAATAGGTTAATTGAAAATACTATACGACAAAAAAAATCTGTATTATAATAAGACACTACATTCAATTTAATTTTTTTAGATTTTTCGTAAATAACATATTTCACAATAATTGTTGACATACTCTATATTTATCGACATATTCTTAAATATATATGAATAGGAAAATAATAGGTATGAATAAATTAAAAATAATTTTAAATTGAAAAAAACTATTTTTAAAACCACCAGATTTTCGCAAAAACTTTAGCACTTTCTTCATGATTATCTCCCATTTTATTTTTGCTGAAATATTCTGATGTGCTTCACTATCTAACATTATATTTGACAAGACGTCACTATGTATACAACTTTGTTTCTGGGGACTGTAGAAGTAGCCCCATTGGCAAATACATCTGAAATAACAAAGCATTATGCGAAGATAGAAATATGGAATCTTTCAAATTTCAAAATTGTGTCAAGTTAAACCAATGATAAACTTGTTACATGTTACATGTTACTTATACCAATGATAAACAACTTACATGGTTAAAAATTGCAATTTAAGGTGAAATTATATAAAAACAAGATTAATGCTGTTGCTTTTACTTGGCTTCATATCAGAGAATTGAGTTATCTAAATAATTCTTAGATATAGAGTTAAAAAACTGTAAGTTTCTGAGAATAAATGGAAAATATTTCAACTACTTGATAATGGGAAAATATGAGATAAAAAAAATTGGTACGGAGTTTGTAAGTTTGTAAAAAAACTTACTCATAACTTCCAGGCAAATTTAAACAAGATTGTCCAGATTCTGCACATGGAGGATTTTTTGTATCACTGCATTCATTTATATCGACACAAATTCCATAGAGAGAACTCCAAATATATCCCTTATTCGGACAATTGCAAGACACATTCCATCTATTCAGAATCAAATTTCTGAAATAGTCGAAGAAAAAAAAAGAAAATTGTGGTTGGAAAATATCTAGCATTCAACAAGGCTGATTATACTTATATCATCACTATTGTAGAGTTACTGTGCAAAGTGGTTAGTGTATTTATTTTTGATGTTTTTGAAAATATTTTTAATTTTACTGATAAATTATTCAGACTCGCATAGCAGAAAAAAAGGCACAAAAAAACAGGAAGCAAACGATGCACGAGGCACCATGTGCAAACTAGGAGATGGAAAAAATTACGAAGAAACGAAAATCAATGATGGAAAATAAAAGGAGCAAACGGGAGCCTAAAGCCCCAATTTGCAGCCCAGAACCAGACTCGCCCAGGATTGTGGGCTTCATCCGTTTAATCTTTTCCTTCTTTTTTTATACATTTCCCTCACTATTTCTTTTTTGTTCATATTGGTACCACGGCTAAGGGTATTGCGGCGGGTTGCTCTTGGCTACCTTCGCGGCTGTTCTGGACGAAGCCCACAATCCTGGGCGAGTCTGGTTCTGGGCTGCAAATTGGGACTTTAGGCTCCCGTTTGCTCCTTTTATTTTCCATCATTGATTTTCGTTTCTTCATAATTTTTTCCATCTCCTAGGTTGCACATGGTGCCCCGTGCATCGTTTGCTTCCTGGCTTTTTGTGTCTTGGGATCGGTTTCATCGCTTCCTGATTCCTTGCCGTACTGATGAGGCCTAAAGGCCAGTATCAGTGTACACTAGTGTAGGTGTGTTTGTGTGAGTGTGTGAGTGTGCGTGTCTGCACTGGTGTATACGGTTGCGAATTGTTGAGGGCTGAGCCGTTTAATCTTTTCCTTCTTTTTTATACATTTCCCTCACTGTTTCTTTTTTGTTCATATTGGTACCACGGCTAAGGGCATTGCGGCGGGTTGCTGTTGGCTATTTCCACGGCTGTTCTGGACGAAGCCCACAATCCTGGGCGACTCTGGTTCTGGGCTGCAAATTGGGGTTTTAGGCTCCCGTTTGCTCCTTTTATTTTCCATCATTGATTTTCGTGTCTTCATCATTTTTTCCATCTCCTAGGTTGCACATGGTGCCTCGTGCATCGTTTGCTTCCTGGTATTTTGTGTCTTGGGATCGGTTTCATCGCTTCCTGATTCCTTACCGTACTGATGAGGCCTGAAGGCAGTTACATCAGTGTACACTAGGGTCGGTGTGTTTGTGTGAATGTGCGTGTCTGCACTGGTGTACACTGGTGTATACGGTTACAAGACGTTGAGAGCTGAGCCGTTTAATCTTTTCCTTCTTTTTTATACATTTCCCTCACTGTTTCTTTTTTGTTAAAATATTTTAAAAGTAAGCAAAATTATATATTTATAATTACTTACAAGGCATTACTTTTAAATATTTTTATATTATTTGGAACTTTTAAAGTTGTTTAAAAAATTATTTGTGACGTTTGAAAAAAAGAGCATATTCTATTCGGAGTAAAAATGACGTTTTGTGTCTCGCCTGTATGTCGGACTCGATAACGCTCGTCCGTCAAACGTACAGCCTAGCCACAAAAAGTCAATCAAATAATTTTTACTCCTAATAAAACAATATACTATAATACATTTGTACCTAAATACGAAATATTTTCATGCAAACACAAAAATTTCCATAGGTGAAAAGTTAAGGTAGGTTTTTAAAAATAAAAATTTTCGAAAAACATCTTGTAACTCTGAAACCGTAACAGATAGAGATGTTCGGGTTTTATCATTATCTCCTTTAGAAAGGATTTACCTACTTAGGAGTTTGTCTTTAAAAATGGCCAATTTGGCTCACCCTATGCATTTGTTTTTGAGCTTTTGAGCTAATTGATAAATTAGGGCGGTAACTTTGTCATAGGGCACTAGATACATTAACAAATCACTTCATAGACAATGTCGGTAGTTCAAATTTAAAGCGCGCTAAAATTAAAAATTAGGTACGTGATTAGTATTACGTGAAATCGATATTTTCTGATTTGCTGACAGAGCAGTCCCTTTGTCCGGGGGCGTTTTCGTCAAAGCAGGGATTTTCCTCATTGTTCCAGCAGCGCTCGATATTATCCAGATGCTTGTTAGAGCAACACGGGTCCGGACAAAAGCTACAAATAACACGTCCTATAAGTTCAATCAATAAAAAAAAGTTATACCTAATTATAGCGATCCCATTAATGCAGTATGAAATATCGAAACTCTCTGATTAATCCAGATATTTATAACTAAAAATATAACAAAAAAACTCTGCCAGTGAGCAAAATTTTGCCACATTTAGGGAACATTAGGGAACAGTTACGTAAAGGAATAAAATGCTCACTGGGCTAGTTAACCACAATACACCTAGCCACTTTATGAAATTGAGAACAACAGCAGATTACTATTTCTAAATCTATTAGTTATTATAAGAAATACTTTCGCGACCTAGCTTGGGGGTTGTTCGCTAGGATCGCTTAGACCAGGATTCCTCTTTCTTTTCTCTTCTGCTAAGATAATTCGTTCATTGGGATACTTACAAGAACATCTTCCCTGGCTGACAACTCAATAACTAAATATATATGACTGTTAAGTGACTAACTATGAACTCATAATGCCACTAACACCGCTCTCTTCAGCATACTTTTTTTATATTTTCCTATTTCTTAGTCATCGCCGGTTACGTCGATCAATAGTTCACAATCTAATTACACTACCCTTGCTATGACCATGAGGAAATCAAACTTCGGTGACCTGCGTTTGATTATCGACCCGATATTGTTATATTTTAATTGTTTAATTATCAGTGTTATTTAATAACATATCTGGATCAATATCATGCAGGTAACTGATCTCTTGGGCCTACATCAAATTGATATAAACCCAAGTTTACATCTATTTAAGGACAATACGAATAAAGGCCTAGAATTTTATATCTATAAAAAAATACCACTACACACAGATATATTCCTAATGAATCTTATCATAGTGTTGAACATAGGATGGCCAGTTTAAATTTCTTACTTTATAGACTACTTAGTTTTCCACTTACCAACGAAAAATATAAAATAGAACGAAAATACATTAGACATGTAGGTGAGTGTAATGGATATTTTCCTTCATTAGTTGATAAAATAATTAGAAAACGAAGATATAAGTTTGCGATTTCTGCAAATTCGACTTTTCAAGTGGAGAATGATATGTCAGAATATATTTCAATACCGTTTGATAGAGTTGTCCCGTTTTTTTTTTCAATTTTCAAGAATTTCAATTTTAAACATCTGTATAGTGGTAATAATAAATTACAACTATTAGTTAATGCTAAAGATACAACACCTCTTCTGGAAATGTCGGGTATTTATGAAGTTTAATATAAAGATTGTAATCATAAATAATGTTGGGTAAACTAGAAGATCAGTATAAGCGTAATTAGCAATTCATCCTGGGGGGTGATCCTGAGGTTTGAGCCCAGGAGGGGGCCTAGGGCTTTTGTTGCTTAAAATCAAGAATAATAATATTAAATATAAACACATTTTTTGAATTAGACATTTTTGAACAAAACAAAATAATATTAACTAAACAAAACTAGAAAAAGTAATTTTTACATCACATGCAAATAATAATTAATATTTAGCAAAGAGTTGCAGTGCAACAAATTCAGCCGAAATATAAGATTTTTCTGGAAGATGCCCAGTATGTAATGGTGCGGGCACCATGTAATGGGGTGTAATGTAATAATTTTGGTCCCTCCTGCATATGTTAACTAAATTTGAAGAACTAGCTATAAGATATGGTAGACTCCATAAATCTTGCGTTGCTCAACACATTGTTGCTAAAGATCATGTATAGATATTAAAAATTTAAAATTAATTAAACATGTTTCAAATTACAGGCAATTAGATGCATATCCAAGTCCAACACCAAAAGTTCCAACCGCCAACTGTAATAAAAATATAAACATATTTTACTAAATCGATATAGAAATAAGTAAAATAAATGGTTTGCGCATTGATAATAATAATCCTCTAATGAAGAAATAGAATATAAAATATAAAGCAATTACATTCGAAATATTGCTGAGTGTAATGGACCTGATTCCTTTATTAGTTTATGATTTTCTCGAAACTCCACTTTGTAAAAAGCTTCAATATCGTTTGTTGGAGAGATTGACGAAAAATCTCTTTAGACCCGAACTCAATTTTTGACAATGTCTATCATAAACTGGCGTATAGTGCTGTTAATAAATACAGCATCTATTAGGACCTATTATATAACAGCATCTATTAGACTGGACACGTGTGTCTCCAATAAGTCTAATAATAAATTTAGCCTAATAAGTCAAAAATAAATTTAAGACTAAAACTGTTTTTGTCCTTCTACAAAGAAAGACCAAAACAGTTTTAATCATAAATTTATTCTTCAAAAAAATGCGATAACGTTTGCACAAAACATGTTTAGAGTCATTTAGTAATAGTCAGACTGATGGAAGTCGATCGATGCTTCGTCGTTGATTTAAAGAATATAAGATTTTTTCAATCAACGGTTAAGTTAAAACAATCTTCGGATTGTCACGGGGTTTCTAACAGGACACTGTCTCCTCAATGAACACCTCAGTAGACTGAAGCTGAGAAACAACGGCGAATGCAGATTCTGTGGGGAAAATGGGGAAACACCAGAACACCTTATCACCGACGTATCACTGAGGCTGTATGATGAGTTATAACTCGTTATAACTCAAGAAAGAAGAACACACAATAGATCTGTAAGGTCGCGGTGATTAACTCCCCTCTTAAACATTCTACATTCTACAATCAACGGTTTCATGTTAAAACATTTTTAGTCGCGACCTGTTCTATATCGGCTGAAGTGCATATTTTATTATAAATAAAACATTTTGCTTCGCAAAACATAATGTTTTTTTTAAAAGAAAAAACAAGCCTTAGATAAAAGCGTGTATGACTAAAACCCTTTTGGTATATTTGCGTGTCACCCTAAGGTAAAACACCATAAATGGAAATATTGGATATTTGAAAATATCACATAATGTCTATAATCAGAAATAGAAATAGTAATCCGAAACTAGATTCAAACAACATATTGCTCAATTAACGTATGATAGAGCAGATATGTCTCGTGTTGCTCAACATATTTTGAAAATTATTTTCAAAGATAATGATTTAATTTCTTGTATTTCTCTGTTTTACGTAGTTCTAATGCTCTACTTTCAGTAATTCATTGTTAGGTCGATGATTTTTAAATAATAATTTTTTACAACTTGTGTTTTATGTCGTAAAACTCTGGTAATCAAATTTTTCAGCTTACCTATATCTGGCACATTCGAAAGGTGTAGAATCATCTGCTCTTGGATCGTTGTGTCGGGGCCCAAAAGACATATCCATACAATATGCAAAATTATCGCAGTTTTCTCCTATATGCTTCAAATCATCAATTTCGTTCATAGTGAACCAACACATATAGTAACTTGCTGTACTTCTCCATTGATATCTTTCAAGTGGACCTGTAGATACAGTCTGTTTTATGTTTTGTTTTTGCATCGATTTTCGTTTGTACATAGAGTACAATCAATATGCTCAGTACAATAAGATGGACTGAATAAAAAAAGGGCAAGTATTTTTCCTAGTGCATACAATATAGCGTTGGATAAAGTGGTTATGTAATAAATCGGATTTTTGTCCCTCCGACTTGCAAGATCGCTATAGCTATTCTCTTTTAGACATGTAAATACCAACTCATTACTGTCTCTTTTCGGTATGTTAAATTTTCAATGCTATTTTATTAAAATAAAAATTTATTTTCAAATCAGTCAGCTACGGTTAAAATTAACAACACTGAGACAAACAATATTCCGATAGTAAGAAAAGTAAGACAGAAATATGTTCTATCACCAACATCATTCAATTACTGTCCTCCATTCACACAATTGTGTAGCTCTGGGTCCGTATTCTGTAACTTTGAAAACGCTAAGCGCTTTTAGACGCTCAGCGTATATGACGTTAATTTTCGCTGAGCGCGCACTAAATTAACGATTTCGGTATTCTCGTCTGACGCGCTTAGCGTCTTTACTGATTGCGCTGAGCGCTTTGAAAAGGGTTGCCTTAAAGGATCGTTTTGCTTGTCGAACTGTCAGTGAAAATCGAAAAAATTGTGATTTTGTGCGTTATCTTGCTCTTTAGTGAAAATTACTACTTCTTCTATAAATTCCTCAATAAGTAATTGATAATTTACGACTTGGCAGCTATAAATATTGTTCAAAACATCGAAAATTCTGAGAAGAGTCTTCAACACTTCCCTCACATAATATGAATAATGACATATCCATAGAAAAATAGCTTGACATAACTCAACAATAGGTTATGAAATTCACGTAACATTGACATTTTTCATTGTTACATCCATCAGTTATCAACTTTTGACTATTAGCTACATTAGAAATTGTGATGTTGCCAATATGGGCTCAACGCGTATCCAAAACACGATTCGCATGGCAACGAGAATACCAAAATCGACTGCCTTGCGTTTCGCTGATCGAATACTTGCGCTCAGCGCTTTGAAAGCGTAACGTTTTTATGCCAAAGTTACAGAATACGGGCCCTGAACTGTCCAAGAATGCAATACTCTCCTTCCATTCAATTGAGTCATAAAGTTCAGAACTATTCCGCGCCGAGATCCCCTTTCCCCTCGAGCACCTTCCTATAAATTAGTGCTCTGGGTTCCCAGTTATTTAAGTGAGGTTAAGGTTGATCACTTTTTTTGGTTCGCGATTTAAAAATTATGGAGATATGAAGAAACCAACATACACTTTATCCATCTTAAAACATCCTTTGGGATTAACTTTTTCAAGTTTGACAATGTTTAAACTTGAGAATTGACATGTTTAGGCACCAGTCTATCGCGCACAGCTCCTTTCAGAACCGTTCTCGAGTAAACTAATCTTAAAGATCTGGAATTTCAAATGCCCGTAATTGAGCAGTAATGTGTATTCTCAAATCATCTTCAGAAAAACCTTGTGAAAAAGGAAAGAAGGTAGGATTGAACAAAATATAAATTTGTATGGAAGCAAATTATTTTTAAAACAACTAGATTATCTCGAAAACTTTAGCACTTTTAACATGATTATCTGTCTAACATATACATCTATAATATTTGGCACGACATCACTAAGAATACAAGTTTGATTCTGAGGATTGTAGAAGTAATCCCATTGGCCAATACAGAAAGAAAGAAAGAGAGAGAGAGAGAGAGAGAGTGAGACGGGGGTATTGGTTTATAGAGCGCGTCAACAGCGAGGGTATTTTAGCGCTCAGTAACAAGCTTTAGTCAATATGAGGCCATTTTAAATTATGAGAAATTAAAGTTTTTTCGTTTCGTTGATGCTGTCTAAGAATTCCATAACTTTATTAATCTTTGAAATGTTGGCCAATACATCTGAAATAACAAAACATACGACAATACATACCATGACAATACACGACAACGAAAATATGTATAGCAACATACAAAATTGTATGCCAATGAAAAAAAGTTATGCCAATGATAAAGTTTTAAATTAAATGATATCTAAAAATTGCTATTTAAGATACAATATTATTTAAAAACTATATATTAATGCTGGCGATTTCACTGAAATCCGTATAAGAGAGTTGATTTAACATTTAGTTCTTTGATTCATCATTATTTTTATCGTTTTCGCTATTTTATTTTATTCTTAGTGTTTTTATTCAAGGAATTGAATTAAACGAAAAATTTAATGCATTAGATACGAATGTATTTAGCATCGACGAATTATTTTGATCCGTATATCCAATAGTTTAATGTTTTTACATTTATCTTTAACATCAATCAAGGATAGAATCCACTATTGTGGCAATTGTGTAAATTGCCATATGTCCTTTTTTATTACCATCAAACGGCGGTGCATAGTTGAAATCAGTTTTTAATGTTTTTCTACACTCCAAATCAGTTTGATCGATTTCCCTTGAATTATTTGGGTAACGCCATTGGTTCTCTTGTACGACTATAGACGTGTCATCCTGCAGTAAAAAATAGAATATATTACAAAAATAATATAACATTATGTTTCTCATAAACATAATATAAAATATATTACCTTTTTATTTAAATTATCCTATTCTACTACAGCAATAAATCGTAATAAGCATTCGCTAGCATACACGCATGGAGCAATTTTTGTAAATCCAGTCAAAATAAATTAATATTTATGTTCTATATTACCTGTCTTCTCAAGGCGGTCCCCTTTATTTTACCTCTCAAGTAGTCGACGCATCGTATGAATGACTCCTCACAATTTAAACGCACCTCCCAGTGGAGAGATCTCAGTGGTGGTCGTGGAAAATGCTGATGATACAGTCTAAAAAATTAAACTATGATGATATAATATCTGTTGAGGAAGAGGTTGGTGATTGAAGTGTTAAAACAAAGTGAAGAAACTATTCGTTACCACATTTATCTCTATTGGAGAGAGGTAATTTCTACCTGTATTCTGGGTATGGTATGTACGCATATGTGCCTGCATTTTTTTTGGCTATAGGTCAACAATACAGGGTGATTTACAGCCATGGTACGTTAGCCGTTAGTTATTATGGAGTACTAGGTATAGTACTTTTTAAAAATTTGGGTTTTTGCATAAAGAGACCTGCTTCGTTGGTCTACATTATTTTCAGCATTACAGCGTTGCCGCTTCATACTGGCACCTTTGGTATTTTAAACGGAACACCCTGTATATTATTTCATATTATTTCATTTTTAAAACTACTTTCATATCTCATTAATTTTTCTATCATACCAACATACCGTGCCGGCAACTGTTACTTTTGGGTCGGTATTTACATGTGGGGAAGTAAATCGCATAGGGATCTTGTTAAGTCGGAGTGAGAGAAATGCGACGGTGTGCTGTTGCGGCGTTGCCGGTATGCCTTTCCCTATCAAGTAAAGTATAATCACGATCACAAACCGCTTATTTTTAAAATACCATTTTTTTGGAAAGATAACTAGATAAAATTATTAGAGATGTGTCTGAGCATCTGAAGTGGAATTATACGGATATCGTTAGGGTGTTTTTTATAACGAGAAAACGTCAGTAATCGCGATAATTTAAAAACTCAACATTTTAGCACATAACGTGCCGTAACTTAAGAACCACTTTAGAAACTTTTTTTCTATTTTGAAGATTGGATCTTTTACAGTATGCTTAAATAATAAAAACTTGACAAGGTTGTTCTTTTCTATCCAAAAATTTTAAACAACCCATTCATTTACTTTTAGTGCATGGAAATTTTCAGCAATTGTGTAATTTTTTTATTTATAAAGATTTTCACATACAGTCTGCGTAGAAAATGTAGCAGAAATATTAAGAAAGTGTTTGAAAAAAACTACAATTATTTCTAATAGATTTCGAGATATTGATTTTTGAATTCAGAGTTCTAATAGCGCAATCACCTTCGAACACTAACTCAATTCCACTTATTTTTACCCAAAATGCAAGTGTTTCTAACTTGCACTTAAAATTTTTTAAGCAATAGAGAAAGAGGGATAATGGGGAAATACCAAAACACCTCATCACAGAGTGCACCGAGACGATAAGCATCCGTGCCATAATATTTGATACAACTGATATCGGAGATAGAGAACCAACCTCTGTAAAACCGTCTCATTTTGTCAAAACCCTATCATTGGCTTTTATCAAAACCCTGAGACTGTATGATGAGTTATAACTGAAGAAAGGGGGACACAATAGATCTATAAGGTGGCGGCGATTAACTTTTCCGTACTACAATATCTTTCCCAATCTACAATCTACGTCAAGTTAATGTCTAAACAAACCAGTTTAATTAAGTTATCGGTTATTTTAACACTCACCATCTTTAAATATTTAAATTTTATGTATTTATAAGAAAAATCTTGAAATTAAGAACCTTCTAATACTGTTTCTTGTTTATTCTAGTCTGTCATACAACAACTCAGTGAAAATTTCAACAGACAACATTCAAAAAATGACAGAAAATACAATTTGCCTGCCAATTAAAATGACAAACACAACTGCCACTGTCAGGAATCCACCCGATGCTTCCCGTTTGATAGACTACTATAATAGATGATAGACTACTATACTATTTAAAAATAGATAACTCTATTTTTAAGAACATAAAGTTCATTGACCCATTTTTAACTAAATTGTCGTATTGGTTTAGTTATTTTACTAATATTCGCGTTCTAAATCGATTCTTGTAATATCACGCGTTGTTTCCGAGCAACAGTTGTAAGCAGTTGGGTAGTTTAGAACTGCTTTTTGTCTGAACGCCCCTGCCAGATTTACTAGCTCTTATATTGAAATTAATAGTTTTGTTTGGCATAGTTTGTTTCAATGTCTCTAGTATACAAGATCCAATAATAATTGGAGACAAATTTTTATTCTAGTTTTTAGGATATTAGAGCAGATATGATACAAAAACTCATAGCGGTTTTCCTGTAAGTTTGTATTACATATCCGCTTTGGAGACATAAATATAGTTTATTTTTTATACATTATATTAACACAATTTTTAAAAAATTCACTTCCTACAAAATATAATATTTACAAAAACAGTAGAGATAAATGTTAAAATTAATGTATGATTTTTGTTAAATGTCAATAGTTATAGTTATTTACTATTTCTTTTTGTTTTGATATTGTATTTTTACTAAAAACACATACTCTGTTTATTATGATTTTCTACGTTTAGTGGGATTTTGCTGAACGATTCAAACCTTTTCCTGACTTGGACAGGTACAGGAAAAACTATCGTTTAACCGAAATCATAATTTACCGAAAACATAACTTTAGTTCATATCTCCAAAAATATTATTTTCAAAATACAGACTGTATTCTACGCAAAATATTCTACAATAAACAGTTGTAGTTAACTTCTCGATACCTTTCACAATAACAGAGATATAGGATGTGTGTCCTATATTGCTAAATTTTCAAAAATGCCCTGTAGCTCAAAAACGAAGAATGCAAATTTTTTTGCGGCATTTTTAGATAAAAAAGTTATACAGGTTTGTGCAAACCGCATCTTCCTATCTAATCCTATTACTATTAACCGTAATGATTTCAACCAAAATACACAACAAAAATTATAGCTCATTATCTGGAATCGTCCATTTATATTCACAATTCATACTACTCATTTTAAAACAACAAAAAGAGCGAACATTTACAATCTGAGTTAAACCGTCTATACTAACACGGCATTAATCGAAATAACAAAGAGACAATTTCAGTTTTTTTACCAACAAAACCGACAGTTTTGCGGGGCAATGATCTGTGGACAGCGAACGTGGGCAGAAAGTCAACGAGGCCCCGGAACCATTTGAATTTTAAATTTTCTACCGTAAAAAAGCTTATATGCGCCTTAATGTTCTCGAAAACTTGGCCCAGTCCCGCGCCCTCTATCGCATTAAGTCCAAAATTAAAATTCGCGCGACGGCGACGCCAAGACCAACTTTTTAATAATAATAAAGTTTCGGGCCTGGTACACGCGATTGCAGTCACTGGGAAACTGAAAAAAGTGGGAATGACTACAATATAACTTGGGCTCTATGCTTTCGATTTGTTCTCTATTTTTCGCAGTAAAATAAATCTGAAAAATTTCTCGAATAAAATTCGAGTTTTAAACTTTTATTGCCGAGAAGATTATGACCATATTAAAATATACAGGGTAAAATACACTTCTCATACGACGTTGAAGCTCCAAGGAGAAGAACAGTTTGTATTGGAAATGAAATTTTGTGAGCGTATGTGGTTAATTAGAAGCATTTTTTAAAAAATATCGGCAGTTCTACAGGGTGTCCCCCAAAAAAGATACATATCAAAGTTGTTGTTTTTTTCTAATGGAACACCCTATACAATATGTTCTCGGATTGTAAGAGGAAAAACTTTTTTATTACTGACATTTTGAGAAAAATGCTTTCTTCATAAAAAAATAGCTTGTTCTAAAATGGTTAATCCCGTTTATACTATTCCAAATTTCCATACTGTTTTAGAGTAAATTAAAAAAAAATCGAAAAAATGGTTGAATTTTTTCAAAGTTCTAAAAAGCAAAAATTTTTATGTAGTGTAATAAAAAAGTTTTTCCTTTTGTAAAGACAATCTGGGGATATACTGTATCTTAATTTTTTTTTCTGATTCCAGGAGAAAAATGAAGGTGAGTTTTATTAGTGAAGTATATGATTAAAATGTAATGTTTCTGACATATTTAACATTTTCTAAAAACAAATTTTAATAAAAGCTACATAATATGTAGTTAAAATAACTATTGTACTTTAAATCAAATTAAAACTTGATTCATAAAGTTATTCAGAATGAGACAAAATTGAACAGTGGTCACATTTAAAAGCAAGTTACTCTATTATTTTAAATAAAACACCCAGTATATTGTTCCGATATTCAATGAAGAATTCATGTCTCTTTAAAATACCATTAAGGTTGCTACCTGTCAAACAAATATTTTGCTAAATATTTTAATTTTTAGCCGACCATACCGATAGGTATGGTAGGCTATTAGAGGATTGGCAAAAAACATTTTTTTTAATTTCACTCAAAATGAGTTACTTGGGTCATAAATGACCTAAATACAAAATATTTTCATGATGGCTGTCTGTCCGTCTGTCCGTTTGTAACACGATAACTCAAAAACCGCTGAACCGATTTTAACCAAATTTGGCACAAAAATACTGTGGCACCCGAGAATCTGGCTATCAGTTTTTGGTGGGGGTGGGGGTTGGTAAGGGGGTATGGGATGGGAGGGGGTTAAAAATTTAAAAAAATCGTAACTCCAAAATTACAGTAGCTAGCGAAACGCGGTTTTCAAATTAAGATTAGGAATAATATTTGCAACAAAATTTGTAATAACATCAAAATCAGTCAAAGTCGCAGTTTTCGAGATATTAACATATTTTAGTATGGGCGGCTATATGTGCCTCCCGGCGCCAATTTTTATGATTTAGTGTCAGTTGAAACAAAAAAAATTTTGCCGAAAATGAAAACTTATCCTACATCAGCGGGGATTGATATGATTCTATTAATTATTGGTAACTGGCAGTGAGCATTCGCCAATTAATAGTATGCTAAATGCTACTGATTTTTCTAGTCTGGGCCTTTTTTCGTTACAAAACTCGACCAACTATTGCCGACAACATGAAGGAAATGATTGTGGGTGATTTTTCAAGTAGAACTCCACATATACCTCTTAACATGAAAATATGTTTTGAAAAGAGAATCATTTTATGCAGGAAAGCAAGCATTTGATTTGAACTAGCTAATTTTTGAAACATAATTATATAGGACTAGGAATATTTTATACTACACAA